CTCTCTCTCTCTCTCTCTCTCTCACACACACACACACACACACATAAAAAATAAAAAACAAATTAAAAAATTTATATGGCGAAACGGGGTCTCGAACATGAGATATACAGGTGGCCGGCCCGCATTCTAACCATTATACACAAAGCACTATATTGAAATAAAGCATTTAATTTCTTTATACATACATTGAAATTCACAAATTATTCGCAAACTCTGTTACACACCCCTCTCCCAAATCTGTTGTCTATTCCCCTCTATGTGTTTCAAATGCATTCACCCCATTCACACCCATGTAATGCTTTTTTGAGGTGTCTCATTTTACTTCTATTATAAAGGAAATATGTTTTATTTATTTTTAATTAAGGTTCATTGTTTCCCTCCCATTTCTTATATCTTCCGGGAAAATAAGGAATCTTTCTTACTTCGTATTAATGCGCGCGTACCGTACGATTATATTGCAATATTTATTATTTTTTTTAATTAAACAACCATTTTGAATAAAAATAAAAACCTTACATGCAATGTGATTTATTAAAAAGCTCGCGGGTCTTCTTAAGCTAGGCCAACCAATAGAATGTTGTAGCTTAAAATCAACAAATAAATAAAACACAATCTATTCTTATCATATTCAGCATAAACAATCAGAAATACTTTTAGGCAGGTTTCTTAATATCATAACTCTTATATTATTTATTTTTAAGTTGAGACATTAATTTAGAATTATTTAATATTAATTGTTTGATTATGTGTAGCAAAATAAGTGTAAATCTAATTTACATGTTTTAAAATAACTTATAAATAAACATAAACTTTATATATTAACTTATATCATAAAATATATATTAGTTATACAATTAGTAGACTATGTAATATGAAATATACCTTTAAGATTGTTGTAAAGTTTGCGGTACTGACCAAGTGGATGTGGTTTTCAAATAAATATTTTGTAATTTTAATTACAAAAATGATAGCAAAATGGATTACATAAACCATATGGTAAAGAAAGTGATTGACTTAATTAAATATTATTTCAAATAACCTCAAATAACTAATGACATCTAACTTTTCAATATAGTATTTAGTAGTTTATAAAACAATTTATTGAAACGTAAATCAAACTCTTATTGTGTTTGGTTATAGCGTTTGATTGCCAATACATACCGCTTAACATCGCCTAAAGAGTATCAACAAGTGGTCTAATATCGGCGCTAAACTCGTGGCACAACCTAAACAATACCCGTGCCCTCAATCCGTTGAACGAGTTATACCTAATGCCTTCCCGATGTCAATGCCATGAGCATAGCCTTTGCGATCGAGTCCCTCCCGGAGCGCGTTTATAATTAGTATTTAATTGTATTATTCAATTTATCCGCAAAATATTGTTAACAATGTTAAATTTTATGTGCCAACACGGGGACCGTACACTCACACAATACTACCATGGTGATCCCTACGCCAACTACTCATGGCCTGACGGTGAAGGCGGACTCACCCCTAACGGTAAGCGCCGGATGTTTGGCGCGGGACAACAATTTAGCCATTATTACAGCCACTTCCAGGGCTTATCGCCCAAACACATACACCAACGCAGTACTGACGTCAACCGGTGTCTGGAAAGTGCCTACTCTTTCGCGGCCGGTGTGTACCCAACTCGGGGCCGCTGGGTATGGGACGAGCCCACGGAGTTGTCCCACTTGTGGCAACCAATGGCCGTGTCGTCAGTGCCCACCGATATAGACGCCATGCTTTACTGGGCGCCCAACTGTCCGGCAATCGATCGGCAAATTAATAAAATTATAAATGGTAAACCTGTGCGCGACTACCTGTTCACTCAACGCTGGTTTACCGACCGTTTGCACCGGTATTTGCCCAACGTCAACATAACCACCTTGGCCAATTACTACGATTTGTACGACACCTTATACGCCGAGTTGTACTACGATCAGCCCTTACCGCCGCCCGAATGGCTGCGCGCTATGGGTGTCCAACAGACCATAAACGAACTTGCTAAGCTGGAATTGGCCTGGTATGAATTTGTATATGGTGATCTATTTGTGCAGCGTCTACGGGCTGGTTTATTAATTAACCAGATCATTTTGAATGCCCGTAATATTACCAAACAATTGATTGCCGGAACCTATGGCGGAGATCTACAGACCAAAGTGTATGAGTACTCCACTCACGATGAGATGGTATACCCCGTGACCAGAGCTGTGTCCGGTGGTCGCCCGCCCTACCCATCCTATAAGTCGGCCATAGTGTTTGAACTGCACCTGGTCAACCGGGAGTTTGTTATGAAGGCTTATTTTTGGTACAATGATGTACAGTATAGGTACCAGATTTCACCGTTGGGTTTGTGCGGCGGTGCCGATGGAAACCAACGCGTATACGGGTGTGAATTGAATCGATTTGCCGCAAGTGTTGCACATTTAATACCCGACAATTGGAGCCGGGATTGCGGTCTTAATTATACGCAAACTATTTATACGAAAAAATAAATATTGCTAACAAGTAGAGTACTTTTGATGAAACAAAGATAATATCAAAAAATTTTACGATTAAATTATTTTTTATACTCTACTCTATTAGAATAGACACACTTCATCAAAATATCTTGGTTTCATCAAAAGTACTCCGCTCGTAAGATTGTTAAGAATATAAAGTTTACATCAAGAATGCTAATAAAGAATGCTAATCAACATTTAGATTTAGATATACATTTATATTTTCATATATCTAATTTATTTTATTAACCACAATTTATACTTGTTAATTATAGTCACAATGTAATACATCACATTTATTTTTTCATTTAATTTAATAATATAAAATTATTTTATAAGACTTTTTCCATTGAACTCAATTATACAACTAATTTAAAATAGCATTAAGATTATTTGTATAATTAGAAAATAATATACAGTTTGTTATTAATATAAATAATAAACCTAATCACAAAAAAATACAATACAATATAACAAATGTTTTATAATTAGCAAAAAATTAATTTCAATTAATAATTAATCTGATATTTTCAAGGACTTGTCATAAATTAATTACCACAAATAAAATGACACAAAAATTATTTAAAAACATTATAATTTATTATAATAATTATTCTGAATTACAGTAAATCATGGTCAGTATATCAAATATTTTGGTTGGCACACCTATTAATACACTAAAAGCTTATAAAACCATGAATGTTGAAACAGTTTTGGGAAAAATACTACATTACCAATAATAATAATTAATTAATTTTATAATCACCATTCACTATACGTACTTAACAGTCCATAGCTGTACGTACAAAACATATACATTAGTATAAATGCAAAAAACTAAAACTGCAAAGGTGATCACACACCTTGTCAATATTACCAAGATGATCCCTATGCAAACAACTCGTGGCCGGACGGGTTAGGCGAACTCACACCAAAAGGCTAGCACCGTATGTACGAAACGGGCTGACAGTTGCGGCACCGATACGGCCAATGGCTGGGAGTGTCGCCCAAAACAATATACCAAAGGAGCGCATCCGTGAACCGGTGTCTGGAGAGCGCGTACGCCGTGTCCGCCGGTATGTATCGACCGGAGGGCCGGTGGGTATGGGACCGACCGCTAGAGTTGGCCCACTTGTGGCAACCGATGGCCGTACAGACAGTGCCCACCGTTATAAACCCACTGTTGACATCATTGACCATGTCGAATAGGATTATCGGATTAAAAATGCTAAAATTATTTCACACGTGTATGGCATGGCACTAGTATTTGAAAAATATATATAATCAATGTTAATACCATTATCTATCATAATCATTATAGATTGTCATAATACCTGGCTATTGTGCTCCGGGAGCTCTCGTTGGAGCGGTAGTGTTGCCACACGTTTACACCGATAATTAAAACACTGAGAGATGTCGCTCTCTCAGGGGCGGAGTGTAACCGGTTTTCCCATTTCAGGGATGTACTCATTCCCGATCACACGATTGTGGTACCGGTTCTTTGGTACCACTAATTGCTGGTCTCCAACCGGTAGTCTCGATTGGGCGGACCCGTCAGCCCCGGTACGACCCAACCCAGTGATCGCCAAACAACTTGTATTGAAATCCAAAACTACACTAATTTTAATTGAATAAAATTCACTCTTTTATATACAGTGATTATTAACTTAAATTTCTTTATAAAAATCTGTTTTTAAAGTTTTTAAAAAATATTACCGTATAAAATATTTACTAATTATTAGTTGACCCCAAAGCATATTAAAACATATAACTTATCAAACTTTATTGATTTAAATGGCAATTAATTTTACTGGTTTGAACTGGAAATTAATTAACATCAACATTTGTCCTACAATTAGCCATTATCATTTAATAATAATTTTATTAGAAATGATATTTGTATAACATCTGTAAATACAATGCGTTGACTCTAATAATTGTAAGAGAGTATAAATTTACAATTTATTTATATACAATATTTTGTAATACTTAAAAATACTTTTTAATATGACTTTCTAAATAGTACCTTGATGATCTATTGTGGATGCTTGTGAATTTGGTTTATGCAAATATTTAGTACATGTAAATATGTAGTATAAAAATAGTAAATCCTTATATTTATATCGTAAGTATTTTATTTGAAGTTATAGTCATATTTGAAAATAATTATATTCAATAAAATTGCCAATGTGTAAAAAGTAATTATACAAGTAAATTTAATTTTAAAACACATGACATAGTTTAGTAATCAAAAATTCATTGACCCCGGGTATATACAATTAAATAATTTATGATTTCGATAAATAGATTATGACAACAAAATATACCATAATTAGGCATTCTGTATATCACCCTTACCATACCCTAAAGTATATAAATGTTACAATTATTTAAGACAAAGTGCACACCTATTTATATACCTGGCGCTTACAATGAACCATGATGGTAGAGAGATTGTTGGGAACAAATATTATACTACCAATATTATTAATTAATTTTATAATCACCATTTACTGTACGTACGTAACAGACAACGGCATCGGTACGTACGACACGTCTACTCTAGTGTTGGTACAGTTAATTCAACGGCACGGGGATCATACACCGTCAAAATTTTACCAAGGTGATCCCTATGCCAACGACTCGTGGCCGGACGGGTTGGGCGCACTCACACCCAAAGGCAAACACCGTATGTACGAAACGGGCCGACAGTTGCGGCACCGATACGGCCAATGGCTGGGAGTGTCGCCCAAAACAGTATACCAACGGAGTTATGGCGAGAGCCGGTGTCTAGAGAGCGCGTACGCCGTGTCCGCCGGTATGTATCGACCGGAGGGCCGCTGGGTATGGGACCGACCGCTAGAGTTGGCCCACTTGTGGCAACCGATGGCCGTACAGACAGTGCCCACCGATATAGACGCCCTGTTGAACGCCGCGGCCACGTGTCCGGTGGCGCTAGACATTGAGACACAGCAGGCAAACTCAGCGGCGGCTAACGCCTATATAACAGAGCACCAAACGTTTGTGGATCAGCTAAATCGATTAACCGGTGGCAATTTTACCACGGTAGCGTCATTGGGCACTTTATACACAACCTTATTTGCTGAGTTCGACTACGATCCACCAAAACCCCCGCCCCCGTGGCTCCGGACGATGGGTGTGAAGCGTACAATGGCTCAGCTCAGGGCGTTTATACTGAAACAGTTTCATTTCTCAACAAATACGGTGTTAGACCGGCGCTTACGGGCCGGCCCTCTATACGGTGTATTCATAGACAATATGCAAACTGCTGTAGCTATGGCAACCAATAGCACCATGGTCAAAGTATACCACTACGTGGCCAACGATTTGAACGTGTCGTATATGTATCGGACGATAAACGGTGTGGCGATTGCACCGTCAGAGGGCTCGGCCCTAGTGTTTGAGTTGCACCTTATTAACGGCCAATATATTGTCAAGGTGTTTTACGCCGACAACATAAACGAAACGTACGAGTTTGTATGGTCTAGGGTGAATATGCCCATGTGTAAGGCCACTAATGAGCAAGTTGGTCAGTGCGGTTTGGACGTGTTTGCTGAAAGTCTGCAAAATTATATACCGGGTAATTGGAGTAGTGAATGTGGGCTAACTTATCCTGTACCTGTATATCCTTAATAATAATAATATATATATATAAGGTTTTTACCTATGTAAAATGTTATTAAAACGTTTAACGTGATTTTTATTTAATAAATATAAAAAGCAAAACGATTTAATTGTAAATTCAATAGATTTTTGATAATATTGATTACTACTGTAACAGTAAAATAATAAAATAACTTTTAATTTATTATGAAATGCATAAACAATATAATCATTTATTAATGTCCTTTTTAAATCTAATCTATTTTAAATTTAAATTGTTAAATCAATAAAACTTTATTGTCAAAAATTATAACAAAATTAATATACTTATATTTAGATACAAATAAAATTATAAACTCAATAGATCAAATTCATTTACAAATGCAACTAGTAAATTCATTTTTAAAAACTTAATAAGTTATTTTTAAAAACGTATGATCACAAATTAATGACCATAAATTCATTGACATCAATCTTTTTATTAAGTTGTTAAAGTAAAAAATGTTTAATATCTCATTTAATAAATTATTTTAAAAATTCAAACATCAAAATTTTATACTATTAAAAACATTAAAATATAACTTATATATAACCGTAAAATATCAATCCACCTGGCGAATAAAAACACCATGAATCTTGGAATATCATTTAGCAAAAATATAATATCGCCAATATTAGTTACTTTTATTACCATTATTCAATGTTCGTGCGCACTATCCGGACACCAACCCATAAACAACAATCCATACGACACGTCAACACTAGTATTGGTACAGATATTGCAAAAGAACGGTGACCAGGCGCCCAGCAGTTTCTACCCTAATGATCCCTACGCCAACGACACGTGGCCGGACGGGTTGGGCGCACTCACACCCAAAGGCAAGCGCCGTATGTACACAACGGGCCAACACTGGTGGTACCGATACGGCCAATGGTATGGCATATCACCAAAAACAATATACCAGAGAAGCGCGGCCGACGTGTTTTGTCTGGAGAGCGCGTACGCCGTGTCCGCCGGTATGTATCGACCGGAGGGCCGGTGGGTATGGGACCGACCGCTAGAGTTGGCCCACTTGTGGCAACCGATGGCCGTACAGACAGTGCCCTCGGCTATAGACGCCCTATTGAGTGTAAAGGCCACGTGTCCGGTAGCCCAAGACATTGAATCGCCACAAGTTAATTCATCGGCCGCGTTTGCCTACCTGGCCAACTATCAAGCGTTTCTAACCAAGCTCAACCGTTATACCGGGGGCAATTATACAAACAACTTAAGCGCATTGGCCTCACTATACGACACGCTGTACTGCGAACTCAATTACGATCCGCCAAAAGCGCCGCCCGCGTGGCTCCGGGCGATGGGTGTCAACCAGACTATGGCACAGCTCCGGGCGTTTCGGCTCAAAGACTTTTATTTCTATACGGAAACGGTGTTAAACCAGCGCTTACGGGGCGGACCCTTTGTCGGTGTATTAATAAGCAATATGCAAAATGCCATTGCTCTGGCGACAAATAGCACCAGGGTTAGAGTTTATCATTATTTGGGCCATGATTTAAACCTGTCATTTATGTATCGCATATTAAACGGTGATGTTATTCAGTCGTCGTATGGCTCGGCCCTAGTGTTTGAGTTGCACCTCATTCAAGGCCAGTACATTGTTAAAGTGTATTACCTAAACGAACTTGATGATTTCAATCTTGAATGGAGTTATGTCCATTTGTCCAAGTGCAAAACCCGTAATGACCCACTTGGTCAATGTAAACTGGCTGACTTTTCTGATAGTTTACAAAATTATATTCCCGATAATTGGAGTACAGAGTGTGGACTCAATTATCCAGTATCAATTTATCCATGATGGTAATTACGTTTATTTATTAAACCTCGCAAAACAAACTGTTATATAAACTAAATAATGTAGTTTTATTATATTGTAAATAATTATAATCCTGATAATGGCAAAGAATCAATTGAATATAATGGCAATTAAAGTATTGTTTCAAATGTTTTACAACATTTAATTTCATTATTCAATAAATACAATATAGTTATAAACTACAGTATGAGGTTACTAAATGGTTTGATTATTTTACCCTCGTATCGATCAGATTTAGTTTTTGAGTTGCACCTAATTTGAAGCCAGTATATTGTCAAGGTGCATTAAACAAATCAACTTTATGTTTTTGGTTTTGTATGGAGTGCTGTTCCGTTGCCCAATTGATAACAAATAATGACCCAGTTGGTCAATTAAATTAGCATCATTTTTATGTCATTAATAATTCAATACCAGTTGATTGGAGTACCGAGCATGGATCGTTTACCCTTTACCATTTTACCTATGATTTAAATTTGTTAAATATTAATTGTGTTGAAACAGTATTTCACGCTTATACTACTGTAAAATTAAATTGAATTTATTAAATTCAAAATACATAAAGTTTATATAATTGAAATAATTGTTTATTGTTTATTCAAAATATAAATTATGAATTAAAATCTAAAAAGTTATAAATTAATTTTAATTGCAATATATAAATAAATAACATTGCCAATTTTAAATATGTTAATTATGTAATAATCAAAATTTTTGTTATGAGAATTAAAAATAATATTGAGAAAAATTAGAGTTATTAAATGCATATATCATTATAGACTTATAATTCACACAAATTTCGTATATAAATTTCTTTATAAACTTATAAATTAATGCTAAAAAGTTGTAAAAACAAGCTATTAGTGTTTATTACTTCAAATGCGGGTTTCAAGTGATAAAATTAAAGTCTATTTAATTCTTAAGATAATGAACTTCGAGCAGCGGTCTATTCACTGCAATAATCATATGCTATCTCCCATTGTGTCATCAATTTTTCAATTTCCTAACTTTTAATCTTAGTAATCTTATTTCTGTATTATAAATTTTTTAATTTTATAAAATAAAATTATTATTGTTAGTGTAAATTTATTAAAAATAATATTGATTTTATTAATGGTAATTATCCTTGGTCATTAACAATTGCCATAACAATTATATTAATAATATTTATTATGAATACTAAAATCATTTTATGCCATATTAAGTATTTGATTAAAAACATCAATTGAGATAATCTATTTGTGAAACAATTAAAAACATTATAAGTAAACGTTGAAGGTTAATCTTTCCTAAAACACTTGGCAATAGTTTAATGACCAAAAATACATTGACACCAAAATTATAACAAATTGTTATTATTTTGAATTAAATAGATCATGGTAGTACAGTTGTCATCATATTCAGTAATTTCTGTTGGTCGTATTGTAATTGCTATATTCATTGTATGGTTTGTGATAATACTTGCGATAACTGGTCCACCGATTGGTTGGCCACACAATGGAGTGGACAGTGATATCAATGCGGACACCGATAGCGACGGACACGTGATTTTGGGCCAACTTTCGCGAGCCATCAGTGAGTTGTCGGTAATTAAGTTACAAAATCTTGAGCTCAGAGCACTTCTCCAAAAGTATGTGTCCATCGATTTGAACGCAGACAATGAGATCACACATTCCTCCGAGTCATCAAAATTGTCTGAAAAATGGCCACAATTTCCATCACAAAAATACGAGTTAACGCGGCGTTGGATCGGCACTAATGTCAACCAATTGTGGCATTACTTGCGATCGACGACCAACTTGTCGTCGGCAACAATGAGTGTCGTTAATAAAATCAGTGAACACTTATTATACGATTTGGGTTTGCATTGCATTTCACTAATATTTGTCTACCATTTTTGTAAAGATATTTTTTTCTTTACTTTATATTCACAAACAGAAACCATTGAAAAACGTGATAATGATTGGCGCCGTAGGGAACTTATGGGGTTGAGTGCATTGATTAAAAATAAAATTACATCGTTGCAAAATCTAGACAAAGAGCTGTGCCCAAAAACCAACAAGCTCGTTTGCCAACTCAACAAGTTCTGCGGCTTCGGGTGTCAAATGCATCACATGGTCTACTGTATGATTGTCGCGATGGCCACCAATCGGACACTTATAATGAACGCCGAGTATTGGAGTTACGCTCAGACCGCGGGCGGCAACGCGTCGGACGCCTCCCAGGGCTCGCGGGTCTGGGCGTCTGTTTTCCGGCCGTTGAGCGACACGTGTTTAGACGAAAGCGGCGCCAGTCGTGGCGCCTGGAGTTCGACTCCCGGAGCCGTCGACTTCTATCAGGTCGTAGATTTGCCAATCATTGATGACATAGTGGGAAAACGTCCCGACTATTTGCCGCAGAGTATACCCCAAGAGTTGTCCGCCGCGCTGACACAACTCCACGGCTCACCATTTGTCTGGTTTGTCAGCCAAATAGTCCGGTATTTGATGAGACCGTCGCCGGCAATGGTGGCGTTCATTACGCGGCAAAAACATCGCTTCAAATACCGACGCCCTATAGTCGGCGTTCACGTGAGGCGTACCGATAAAATCGGTTCGGAAGCCGAGTTCCGGCCACTGAGTGAATACATGGCAGTTGTGGCCGACTATTACGACCGATTGGATCGCGTCAATAAACTCGGGGTAAAAGCGGACCGTTTGGTGTATTTAGCGACCGATGACTACACGGTGTGGACGAACGAAACGAAAGTATTTGAACGCAAGGGCTATGTATTTATTGGCGATCCACAGATAGGTTAGTATATTTTAAATTACAAACCTCTTTTAACACTGGCTAAAAATGTACTTGATAAGATTATTCGGCAAATTACACGTGCCTAATGGAGCAAGTTTTTGACTAGTGTTTAAAGAGTGTTTTAGTAATTTATAAATGTGTAAATTGTATGGCAATTATAACACCGATGATGTGTTGCATTCATAGCCCGTACGGCGGGTATTGGCCGCCGGTATTCATCGGATTCGTTACGGCATATAATATTAGACGTTTGGCTGTTAAGCGAATCGGATTTTCTGGTTTGCACTTTCAGTTCACAAGTGTGTCGTCTGGCGTACGAACTCATGCAAACCGGGACTGACCACAAAGTGCCCGATAAATCCAACGCTTACCACTCGTTTGACGCCATGTATTACTTCGGCGGTCAAAGGGCTCACAACCGGATCGCTGTCTTAAGTCACAGACAAAGCCATAGACAAGAGTTGGAGCTTAGAGTTGGAGACATTATTGAAAGGTCTGAATACCGTTGCAATGGTTTTAGCGATGGTTTCAATCGGAATACTAACAAAAGCGGTTTATTTCCCGAGTTTAAGACCATTAGTATTATAGAAACGGCAAGTTTTAAACTATTTGAGCGTTGATCACAAATCACGTGATTTAAGTTTTTGGTTTTGATTGTATTTTATTATTAAACAATTTATTAAAGTATAATAAAATTATTGTAATTATCTGAAAAGTTATTTTATTAAAATAAAAATTATTTAAAACTATTGTGAGATATAAACATTAATGGCTATATTAAAGTGTTAATCAGTTTAAAACACTTGGAAAAGCTCAATGACCAGAAATACATTGACACCTTAATTATAATGGTAATATTGTAGTTATTTTACTCTAAAACAGACCATGATAGTAAAATTCAGTATGTAATAAATATAACACTTTTATAAAGTATAGCAAATTAATTACTATAGTGAAACTAACAAACATCATGATTTTTGAAATATTTTTAAAATTACCAATATTAATTGGCTGTATAATCATCACTCATTGTATCTACCTATCAGACCAAAGCGGTGCATATGACACATCGACACTACTATTAGTACAACTAATACAACGACACGGGGACCGGAGTCCTAGTAGTTTTTATGCGGGCGATCCCTACGCCAACGACACGTGGCCGGACGGGTTGGGCGCACTCACACCCAAAGGCAAGCGCCGTATGTACGAAACGGGCCGACAGTTGCGGCACCGATACGGCCAATGGCTGGGAGTGTCGCCCAAAACAATATACCAACGAAGCGCACAATTGAATCGGACTCTGGAGAGCTCGTACGCCGTCGCCGCCGGTATGTATCGACCGGAGGGCCGGTGGGTATGGGACCGACCGCTAGATTTGGCCCACTTGTGGCAACCGATGGCCGTACAGACAGTGCCCACCGCTATAGACGCACTGTTGGGCAATAAGGCTACGTGTCCTGTGGCTCAAGACATACAGAGCCAAAACGCAAACTCAGCGGCGGCCGCCACTTATGTGACTCAACACCAGGCGCTTGTGACCGAGATCAACCAATTGACAGGAAACAATTTTAGTACAATTAGTAGCTTGGCCGCTTTGCACGACACGCTGTACTGCGAACTCAATTACGATCCGCCAAAACCCCCGCCCCAGTGGCTCCGGTCGATGGGTGTCAAGCGTACAATGGCTGCGCTCAACCAGTTTAGGGTCGTTGAGCTTGCATTGGCTACGGATACTGTGTTAGTACAACGCCTGCGGGCCGGCCCTCTGGTTGGTGTATTAATTGGTAATATGCAGAATGCGATCGCAATGTCGACCAATAGTACCAGGGTGCAAGTCTATCATTATGTGTCCGATGATATAATGGTAACATTTGTAAACCGTATGCTAAACGGCGAGGTTTTATACCCTATTGTTGGGTCTGCCCTAGTGTTTGAGTTGCATCAAATTAAAGGCCAATATATTGTCAAGGTGCTTTATGCAGGCACCAGCACCGATTCGTACAATATTGAATGGAGCAAGATCAAGTTGCCTAAGTGTCAATTGGCTAATAAACCAATTGGCCAGTGTGATTTGAACACGTTTGCTAATAGTCTACAAAATTTTATACCCGATGATTGGAGTGCCGAATGTGGACTCACATATCCCGTACCTATTTATTCGTAAACATTCACATATCAGTCTCTCTCTCTCTCTCTCTCTCTTTCTTTCTTTCTTTCTGTTAGTTTATTCGCTTACTTAAGATTAATATATACAACCGTTGTTAATGTCATTCTATCTATAAGTTGTATGTTAAGATTCAGGAGTTCACAGAGTACCTAGGTACTTGTCCCCGTGACTCCTGGTCGTAGAATCTTTAAAATATATACTAAAAATAAAGATTAATAAAATATTTAAATAAAAAGTCATTAATTTAATATAAATAACATTTAATTTTATTTAAAATCTCAATGATTAGAATTAGACATAGTATGCATACAAAAGACATTACAAATAGTTAACATTTAATTATCATTAAAACTAATTATAAAGTAAAATAAATAAAAGTTTCATGTTTGCCAAAAGAGTCCTTACTCTAAGCCCTAACCAACTATTCTCTATCCTCTCATAAACTCATTCTTCCTCTCAGTTTATTATTCATCCAGTTTTATACATGTCTTACAATAATTGTTAATTGAAACATGATTATTTACAAGTGTATATAACTTATATAATTTCTTAGTAGCTTTATATACAGTATTTATTGTTTATATTTATAGCAAATCTTATTTGATTTTGTTGAATAGATATTTTTAAATAATTTTTAAAATGTTTCGAATAATATATCTTGATGAATTAACTTTGAAACAATATTTGATTAAGATAGTTATAAGCAAAGTCATAGCTTTAATGTAAAACTAATTATTCTAGAACCGCGGGACTACACAAAGAAAATATTTAGCGCAATCTCCTATTTAATTTTAATTCACTTAATTAAATAATTAATTTAGAGGAATTTTAATGTGGATCATTATAAATATTCTTTTTTATAAAAATTAATATTTACAACAAAAATTGAACAGAATTTTAAGTTAATGTGAAAAATCAACGCAAAATGTGTACTCTATTTTCCTCTAAAATTAGAGGCAATTTTGTCAAAAGTACTCTTTTTTGACATATAGACCTGGTCAGCCTATGTGTAACATTGCACAAATTGTAATATGTAGCAAAAGTGACATAATGCACATACAGTATTTTATCAACTGGGTGAACAAGCAGTTGTGTAAACTTAGCATTTGTATGAACCAAACCCTAAAACCAAAACCCGCAGTCCATAGACATAATGTTAAAATAGTATCAACTGTGTGAACATATCATTTGTGTGAACAAAATTGAGCTAATATTATACTATATTCAGTACAATCAGTTGTGTGAACCACATATTATGTGACAAAACCCACATATAGATGACAGCATTAATATTTGTTTTGTACACAAAACCAAAAAACCTTAGCATTAAGTTAAATTACAGTATAAAGAGATCACTGGTGCTTACAAAAACCAAGCAATGTCACCTATATTTATAAAACAACAACATATTCTCACTTTTAACATGTAATCAGTTGTATGAATATATCATTTGTGTGAACCAAATGCTAAGACCCAATCGGTTCACCCAGTTGATAAAATACTGTAATTGTTTTTGAAAATAATAATAAAAAGTAACATAATTATATAAATACCAAATACACTTAATACAATAGTAAATACAGTATACTATTTAACTTAAGATTTGATAAGATGCTAATGTTAACCATATTCAGTGATGTCTTAACATTTTCTAAATGCCTTTAATCCTTCCCGAAATAATATTTGATTTTACCAGCAATTCGTCATTAGTTATGCCCGACTATATTATTTATACGAAAACAGAGTATCAATAGATATACGTTATGAATGATGGGTGAGTAAAAAATTAACACTTTAGTAACATATTAACCTTTTATGCAACAATTATAATGATAATAATTCATTCTGTTATAGCAGTCGGAATAACATTTATTCTGTCATCAATTTGTTTTAAGAACATAGCAATCATAAGTGATAAGACCTAAAATTGAGAAACATTAATTAACATTTTGGTGAGAACATGGTCTAATTTAAATCACTTCATAGCACCGAAAATAATTGATAGTAAATAGAGTCCAACACGAGAAACCAATCTTTTTCAAAGCCAAACGCTCAATAAATGCAATTACCTAATCAAGTAAATAATATAACATTCAACTGGTAATTTAAAAAGATAAATTAGCCATATTTATATATTAAACAACATCGCATTTTAAGCTTATATCTTATGCATTGAAATCACATAATATGTGACACATATACTTTTATACATACAATGTTTTGTTATTTCACGTATTTAACCATATTTATAAAACTGTTTATGTTTCAATGAAATAACTAGTATATTCAGTAAATTCAGTAAATTGGTAAAATACAGGCACCAATTTTATATTAAAAATACTTTACCTTATATTGAACCAAGATACTTTCGATTGGACATTCGCATTTAAAACTTTGCATAATTTTGTACGTTTTGTTTGCCTCGGTGTTAACGCCAGACGCAGCCATAATACATGTGCCCCATTGTAACATGGTAAGAATAACAGGCATAATCATAAACATTTGACTGATCAAATCCATCGGGTGCAATAGCAACGAGGCGATTACGCACACCAAATCCATACTACTCCACACCCATATTGATAGCAATATCTTTGACCAATAGGTGTGGTTAAAGTGCGAGATATTACGGTATGTGTCGCTGAGGGCCAACATCTCTTGCCTGATGAATGCGGCGTTTAATTTATGGATACCTTTCATACGTAACACAAGATTTGCGTTTACGGTACGAATCGTGTGTTTCAGATAATAACACAATACGTATAGATATATCGTAATCCATCCGTTTATATTGAACCCGATATAAGCGCCGGGCACTTGGTATAGGGCGTGTGGCAAACCGAACACAAGTAACTCCCATAGCGTACAGTGCATTACGTAAGGGGTTAGACAAACAAAAATGACCGAGGGTGTTTGTTTTGGTATGAATCGCCCGATTATAAATACTTGTCGCGTCCGAACGCTTATTTTCTCCATCAGTGCCGCGTCTCGTATACCAATGGACAGTGGCGTAGCCCTATCGGCCAACACCTCGAACACGGCCATAAATGATGGCACATGGTGGTATTTGTAGTAGTTGTAGGTAAATATTGTTAACAGGGACAGCAAATTTGACGACCATGTTATGTATCCTAGGTTGCTTAGATAATCGGCGCCACTTAGGTAACCATAATCACCTATGTACAAAAAAATCGTACGATTTTCTTCGTTACGGGTAAATAATAACGCTATAATCCATCGGGCCCAAAACATGGCCGTTAATAAATAGCACATTACCGGTGATTGTATGGCAATACGTTTAACCAGAGTGGTTACGGGTTTGTGAATTGGTAAACCGCTCTTGTACAATTGGATGTCCGCGTCATTTATAATTTATTTTTCTGGTAGAATTTTAGTTATTTTTATGGTATTGTTATTATTAGAATCCATTATTATATTGACAATAGAGTATTTTTATAAAGTTGATAATCTATAAGAGAATAATACAGTATTTATATTAGTTTATGGCTAAATGGATCAATTTTAATTATGAATAGACGTGTATTATTTTAGTTGCAATAAATATCTTGAAAGAAAATTGTATTATGCTCACAAATTTCTAGAAATATAATTAAAGATCATCAATTTTAATATTGTGTATTATCAAAAAAGTTCATTATTAATATTAATGATAATAATATCATTATTAATAATATTTATAGAAGTAAATAAATTCCAAATACACTTAAGTTTATAAGTAACATCTAATGTATTTATCCTTGGTTTAATTTATTTTCCCTGATGATACTATTGATACTGTTATTATGATGTAATAAAATAGTATTGTGTTTGTAAACTATTTAAATTTATTACTAATAAATTATTAGAGCAAACTAATTATACTGAAAATTTAATTAGAAAAATATTGTAACTAATAAATTAATTTACACCATATAACCAAGCAAATACAAAATAATGATATCAACATACCTACTAGTATTATAGTCCATTGTATTCTTTGTAGTTCTTAGATAGGTGACTTAATTTTAAATGTAATGTAAACTTAAACTTTTTTGGTTTTATAAAATATAATTAAAAATGATTAATTTGGAGTTTATTTTGAAAATAATGTTGTGCATGTAATAATGCAATGTTGCATACAATTTTATCATATATCACCTTGTCAAATTATTCAAATACAATTTGAAATAAATATTTTTAATATGAAATTACACTTAAATAATAAATTTTAAAAAACATTATTATTGTTAATTCAGCTAAAATTATTGCATAAATATCTAAATATAATTTATAGTGATGAAGTTTATAATAATAATGATTTATAATTTTAAACCCATAAAATAATGTCTAATTAAGAATAACCATTAATTATAAAGTTATTTAAAATATTATTCTGCATTCTCTAAAATTTAGATTTTTTATAATGAAAAATATGATGAAATTAATATCGAGTAAATTAATAAGGTTACGTCTATTTCAGAAATAATATTGAGCACAAAAATATATAAATTATTTCAATTTATTAATTCAAGGGCAATATACTGTCAAAGTGCTTTATACAGGCACCATCATCAAAACGTACAATATTAAATGGAGCAAGATAAAATTGCCCAAATGCCAATTGGCTAATGAACCAGTTGACCAGTGTAATTTGAGCACGTTTTCAAATAGTCTACAAAATTTTATACCCGATGATTGGAGTGCCGAATGTGGACTCACATATCCCGTACCTATTTTCCGTAAACATTCACATATCAATCTCTCTCTCTCTCTCTCTCTCTTTCTTTCTCTCTCTCTCTCTCTCTCTTTTTCTTTCTTTTGTTTGTTTTTTACTCACTTAAGTTTAATACATACAACCGTTGTTAATGTCATTCTAGATATAACCTTGTTAAACTTTATTATTTCAATACATATGTAAATCGCTAAACCTGCATACCTGTAATTAATGATCATTATTTGGCATTTCTTGTTTTATCATTTTATGTCAAATCATAATTTTTTGTTTTTCAAACTCTAATAATATTTATATTATAATTATATTCTTATATGAAATTATCAATAATGTTTAAAGCTGATCAGAATATGTTTTTAAATGTTTTTAACGATTAACTATATATGTTTGGGACTTTGGGGGCAAACGAATTACATAATAAGGGTCATTTTAACAAAGTTTTATTTTACATATAAATACATATCTGACTGATAAATAAATATAAATAAATATTTGGACATAAAGCATAAAAATCATTAATTTACTTGAAATTCGTGGTCTAAATATGTATTAAATGGTAAAATAATTTCAAATAATTTGTTAATATGAATTAAAACAATAATAAATACTTATATGACGTTATGTATTACATAATGGTGGGTTAGTATATCATTAGTTTGACTTGAAAACAATTGATATAATTTAAATATATATTATGACTTTAATTAACACTATTTAAATCGGATTTAAAAGGTTACCTGACATTTCTAGCATAATATTTCGTTATTTTGTCCATAGAATACATTAATTAGAATTTATATAAAATATTAAAAATTATAGCTAAATATTTAAGTAAATATTTGACCCATTTTTAGTAAATATATGAGTAAATATTTGACCATTTTTAATAAATATTATATAACATATTTGACCAAGAATAAATACATATTCTGATCAGCTTTAATAATGTTGTATTTATATTGTATGTTTGGTTTGATTTTATAACTATTAAAAGTACGTAAAATATTTGTGTACTATTTTAAAAGTATTCATTTATTATCAGTTATCATCTTATGGTTATTATAATTAAATCTAAATAGTTAAACTTAATTTAGAACTTATAGGTAATTTATATATACATTATATGTATATGTATATATTAAATAAGAAATGTTGCTTAATTTTTTTTACTTATAGTACACCATGATTGTTACAACAATTTTTTTATTACCATTGATACTTTGCTATATGGCTACCATCCACTATGCATGCAATACGTCTACCTTAGTGTTGGTACAGATAGTACAACGGCACGGGGACCGGACCCCTACCAGTTTCTATCCAGGTGATCCCTATGCCAACGACTCGTGGCCGGACGGGTTGGGCGCACTCACACCCAAAGGCAAGCACCGTATGTACGAAGCGGGACAACAGTTTAGGCAACGATACGGCCAATGGTTGGGAGTGACGCCCAAAACAATATACCAACGCTCAGCCGCCTATGACCGGTGTTTGGAGAGCGCGTACGCCGTGTCCGCCGGTATGTATCGACCGGAGGGCCGGTGGGTATGGGATAAACAGCTAGAGTTGGCCCACTTGTGGCAACCGATGGCCGTACAGACAGTGCCCTCCGCTATAGACGCCCTGTTGGAGGTGTCGGCCACCTGTCCCACAGCTAACAACATACAGGACCAAGATTTAAACTCAGCCAACGCTACCGCCTATATAGCCCAGCATCAAAAGTTTGTCAATCAAATTAACAATTTAACCGGGAACAATTTTACCACGGTCGATCAATTGGCCAGTTTATACGACACGCTGTACTGCGAACTCAATTACGATCCGCCAAAAGCGCCGCCCGCGTGGCTCCGGGCGATGGGCGTCAACCAGACTATGGCACAGCTCCGGGCGTTTGAATACGAAGAGTATGAGTTGGAAACGGATTCGGTGTTAGCCCAACGTCTACGTGCCGGCCCTCTCATTGGTGTACTAATTGCTAATATGCAAAATGCTACCACTATGTCGCCCGATAATACCATGGTTAAAGTATATCATTACTTGACCCACGATATAAACGTAGCGTTTGTTTATCGCACATTAAATGATCAAGTTGTTGTGCCCTCGTATGGCTCAGCATTGGTGTTTGAGCTGCACAACATCGATGGCAACTATATTGTCAAGGTGTTTTATGCAAACAACACAAATGGTGGTCAATTTGAATGGTTGATAGTAGAATTGCCCACTTGTCAGGTGTCCAATGAAACAATTGGTCAGTGCAATTTAAACATGTTTGCTGAAAGTCTGCAAACTTATATACCGGGTAATTGGAGTATTGAGTGCGGACTGCCTTATTATGTTCCTATTTTTCCCTGATAATAAATTATTTCTCATTATTCAATATTTATATTAAGTAAATAAATTTAATGCTTACATTCAATGAGCAATATTAATAAATAATTAGGTATAATGTAATTATTTATACACAAATATAATTTAACTGTTAAATTCACGGCCAAATTATCAAATTGAATAAATTGAATAGATCAATTAATAATTTTACATTTAACGGTAATAAAAAAAGGATATTAAAAAACAAATTTAAAAATTAAGAAATCTGGTTAAAAAGCAATTTAAACAATTTTTACATTTGTTGCAATGAGTTCAACAAAACCGACGTGTATTTTACTAACAATTATATTATATAACACACAACGTGTATATGAGTGTCATTACCAATCGCTTGGCACTAATTACAAATGGCATAACCCGGACAATACATACGATACTTCAACCCTATTACAAATTCACATTGTCTACCGACACGGTATAGTTACACCATCTCAATTTTACCCAGGTGATTCCTATGCCAACGACTCGTGGCCGGACGGGTTGGGCGCACTCACAACTAAAGGCAAGCACCGTATGTACGAAACGGGCCGACAGTTGCGGCACCGATACGGCCAATGGCTGGGAGTGTCGCCCAAAACTATATACCAACGCTCGGCAGCGGACGACCGGTGTCTGGAGAGCGCGTACGCCGTGTCCGCCGGTATGTATCGACCGGAGGGTCGGTGGGTATGGGACCAACCGGTAGGGTTAGCCCACTTGTGGCAACCGATGGCCGTACATACAGTGCCCACCGCTATAGACGCTCTGTTATCCTATACGTCAACGTGTCCAGTGGCCGACCAAATAGCCAATGACCAAGTTACTTCAAATGCTGCCGCAGCATATATTAATGGACACGGTGCGTTTATAAACCAATTCAACACACTGACAGGTGCCAATTTTACCACCCTGTTTCAATACCGAACGCTGTACTACACAATATACGAGGAGTTAAACTACCTGCCACCTAAACCGGCCCCACACTGGATGCGAATCATGGGTGTTGAACGCACCATAAATCAGCTAGCGCAATTTGCTGCAAAGTATTCATACCTATGGTCTCAGCCGCCGATTGTACAGAGACTGCGCGCGGGGCCACTCATCGGTCAAATTATTGAACGCATGCGCAACGTATTGGTCAACGACATACATAATGACAATATTAAAGTGAACATGTATTGCACGAATGACCTAAATATTTACCCCTTATTAATGGCAATTAATAAACAACCTTTACTGCCTGGTTATGGTTCGGCGGTTATATTTGAGTTGCATAAGTTTGCCGACAGTAAACTGGTCAAACTGTTTTATGCCGACGCAATTGACCTGGATCAATATCGTTTATATCAACTTCCATTACCCAGGTGCGGTTGGCCAAATAAGTACCAGTGCCTGTTTAATGATTTTGCTAATAGCCTAGATAGGTTTATACCGACCAACTGGAGTGCTGAGTGCCGTCTAAATAATACTGTACCTATTTATCCATAATGACTTTAATAAAATTTATTAAGTGCACTTAAAAATAAAATGTAATTTTCTATATTATTAGCTTAACCCAAAAACAATGGCAATGTTAAATCCCAGTAACTACAGCCAAAGTGATAAGTACCTATTTTCCACTAATAATAAAATAACTTTAATTATTTAATATTTCTATTAAATAAATAAATAAAATTTTAATATGAACTTATCTATACTACTGATTTGACATGAAATTATGCAACATTTTAAAAATAGATTTAATCATTGATTTACTAACAGACTATTTATAAACTAAACAAACTATAATTACAATTGTAATTTGTATAGGAAATTAATAAAGTTTTAACGATTTAGCAAATTTTAAGTTCAATGGAACTAAAACGTACAGTATTTATTATAATTACATATAAAACATTTGCTTCATAATAATTTACAAAGTTGTTAAACAAGAGGCTGGTAAATTTATTTATTATAAATTTTAATTGAGTAAAATATTTTACTTATTACAAATACAATAAAAATGTCAATAAATATTATATTTGTTTTATTATTTAATTTTATGTTTTGTTTGGTTCAGAACATGCACTTTACGGACAGCACGGGTACGTACGACACGTCGACATTAATATTAGTACAGATAGTACAACGACACGGGGATCGTACTCCGTTGCAATTTTACCATGGTGATCCCTACGCCAACGACTCGTGGCCGGACGGGTTGGGCGAACTCACACCTCAAGGCAAACACCGTATGTACGAAACGGGCCGACAGTTGCGGCACCGATACGGCCAATGGCTGGGAGTGTCGCCCAAAACCATATACCAGAGAAGCGCGGCTACCAATCGGTGTCTGGAGAGCGCGTACGCCGTGTCCGCCGGTATGTATCGACCGGAGGGCCGGTGGGTATGGGACCGACCGCTAGAGTTGGCCCACTTGTGGCAACCGATGGCCGTACAGACAGTTCCCTCGGATATAGATCCGCTGTTGGAAGTGCCCACCTGTCCGGCAGCCGATAACATATATAATCAACAAGTAAACTCTCCGGCGGCCACTGGTTACGTGACAGAGCACCGGGTGTTTGTTAATGAAATTAACAAATTAACAGGCGCCAATTTTACTACGGTAGGCCAATTGGCCGGTTTATACGATACACTATACTGTGAGCTCAATTACGATCCTCCAAAACCGCCGCCCGCGTGGCTCCGGGCGATGGGTGTCAACCAGACTATGGCACAGCTCCGGGCGTTTCTCCATGAAAACTTTTATTTATATACTAATACAGTGTTAGTACAACGCCTACGGGCCGGCCCTCTCATTGGTGTATTAATAGACAACATGCAAAATGCTATAGCTATGGCGGCCAATAGCACCAGGGTGAAAGTGTATCACTATTTGACCCATGATTTGAACATATCGTTTGTGTATAGAATATTAAATGGTAATGTTATTCTACCCCCGTATGGTTCGGCCCTAGTGTTTGAGTTGCATTATACTGTTGGAAAATATATGGTCAAAGTAGTTTACGCCAACAATACCGACTCGTACAATTACCGATGGTGCAATGTTGAATTGCCAAGATGCAAACTAAATAATAATCAAGTAGGCCTGTGTCAATTTGATGTGTTTGTTAATAGTTTACAAAATTATATACCTGTCGATTGGAGTAATGAATGCGGACTTAATTACCCTGTCACTATTTATTTGTAAATATTTTTTGTAATAAATGTTTTTTATTTGTACATTATAAATTGTTATTAAAATTATAACAAAATCACTAAATTATAATAGTATTGCATGTATAAATTTATAATAGAGAGTAATAGTATTAGTTATAGCTTTTTTGACCTTGTATTTCTTGTAATACTTGTTAAGTAGTTATTATTTAATATCCATGGCAATAAATTACTTAAAATCTCAATTACAACTAGAATATTTTATATAAAACACATGGCAAAGTTGAATGGCCAGAAATACATCTACACCATTGGTAATTTAAAAAACATTTTATTGCAATTTTGCACCAACACCTTAAACTTTTAACTGAAAATATACCATGATCAAAATTGGATAAATTTTTATTAATATACATATAACCATGTTTTGTACAAAACATTTTATAATAAATATTATATTACCAATATTATTATTTGGTAGTATTATCACCATGTATTGCAAGTACGACACATCAACACTAGTCTTAGTACAAATCGTGCAACGGCACGGGGACAGGACACCCGAATAATTCTACCCAGGTGATCCTTATGCCAACGACTCGTGGCAGGACGGTTTGGGCGGTCTTACGCCTAAAGGTAAACACCGTATGTACGAAGCGGGCCGACAGTTGCGGCACCGATACGGCCAATGGCTGGGAGTGTCGCCCAAAACAATATACCAGAGAAGCGCGGCTACCAATCGGTGTCTGGAGAGCGCGTACGCCGTGTTCGCCGGTATGTATCGACCGGAGGGCCGGTGGGTATGGGACCGACCGCTAAAGTTGGCCCACTTGTGGCAACCGATGGCCGTACAGACAGTGCCCACCGCTATAGACGCCCTGTTGGACGTGTCGGCCACCTGTCCCACTGCCAGCGCCATAGAAACCCAAACAACAAGCTTACCGGCAGCCAACGCTTACTGAGCGATTTATACGACACACTGTACTGCGAGCTGAATTACCATCCGCCAAAACCCCCGCCCCCGTGGCTCCGGGCGAAGGGTGTAAAGCGTACAATGGCTCAACTCCGGGAGTTTATGCGCGCAGACTATGCTATGTATACGGCAACGGTGCCAAACCAATTGGTACGCTTATTGTGGGCAATTACTGGGTGGTGATGTGTAGCTCGATTTGGTGTCCACGAGTGGTGTATTTGGTGGCGATTTGACAGCTGATCGCGAACTAGACTTACAGTTTAGTGTTGAGTTCTCTGGCGAATGCCTCCCTGGTCACTTGTATGACCCAAGAGTGGGCGATTCTTCCCTGATCGCGGTATGCGAACCAAGAAGTGTTGGCGCCCTGACCACCGAGTTAGTGGCCCAAGCACGGGTTGGCTCCCTGGCCTCCCGATAGGGCGGCCCAAGAGATGGTGGCAAAACACAGCGGGGTTTTGACACCGAAAGACATTTTATTGACTATAATTTGTTACACGTTATACATTTGATTGCTGGGGGAGAACTGAGGGTTAGAGCGCACAGTCTGCCCTTTAAATACAGCATTTGGAGGTTATTGAGAACAGGAAGGGATTGACTCGGAGTGAGAGTCAATCCCTGACATTGAGATAAAAATGATTACAGACTTAAAAACTTTGAGTTACATTAAAAATGACTAAAAACTATAGGGATCTCGATGGAATATTCCAGGGGAATTTAGCTCACGATACGCTAATAAACAATATGCAAAGTGCAATCGCTATGGTTGCAAACAGCACCAGGGTGAACGTATTGTATCATAAACGTAATATATCACTATTTGACACATGATATAAACATAGCGTTTGCCTACAGGACACTTACCGGAAAAGTTATTTTACCCTCTTATGGCTCGGCTTTAGTGTTTGAATTGCATCAAATTCAAGGCCAGTATTCTGTCAAAGTGTTTTACGCAACAATTTCTGGTTTGTTTAATTTTGAATGGACCAGTGTGAAATTGCCCAGGTGCGCTACTGGCAGTCAGTGCACGTTGAATGCGTTCGCGGATAGTTTACAAATTTATCTATCGAGTGATTGGAGTGCCGAGTGTTGACTTAATTATCCAGTACCCATTTACCCGTAAAAATAATTTCCTTTAGAATGTTCATGTTAAATATTTGAAGTGCTCTTTATTTGTATCTAATTATTTCTAGTTAAATAAACATAATATTAAATTTTATAATAACTAACGCCCAATTATCCTTGACAATTTTAATATTAAACGTATAGCATTGCTGTGTGTGAGTTGTTTCTAGAGTACCAATCGGCTATGCTCACATCTGTGCTCACAAATAGTATTTTAGTCATATATAATGTACACTTCTATGAGTGGTGAGGTTTAATGAAATTTGTAATTCATATCTATATTAAAAACAAATGATTTACGTTTTCAAACCATTCACTTAATATTATATTGAGAGGGCATGAGATGTGCAGTTTAATAGTAACTATTATAGACAACCAAAAAGTGCGTTCTTGATGCTTTTGCACTGAAAAAATTATTTATGATTCATTATTACCGTATTACGCCGCATATAGGTGCATGCACTTATAAGTGAATTTCACAGATTTTGCATGTCACCAAAACTACCG